TCAGAGAACCCTACAGTAACACAAGAAAATTAGTCGGTAAATATTGTCAGCCAACTCGGTCAATCTAAAATAGTAAAAGTAAGGTACTTACTAACACTAAAGATCAAATAAACAGATGGGATAAATATATTAAAATGCTTCTGAATAGACCAGGCCCAGAGGTTCTTCCAGATATCCAGCCTTCAGAAATGGAACTGTGAGATACCACCTAAAGAGGAAATTAGAAAAGCTAACAATCTTTTCAAGGAAAGAAAGGCTGCAGGTCCAGATGGTATTCCAGAAGAAGCCATTAGGGCCAGCAATCAACGGAATTGCTACATAGATTATTTAGTAAAGTCTGGGAGACCGAAGAAATACCAGCAGACTGCAGAGAAGGATATCTTATGCAACTGCCAAAAAAAAAAAAGTGATCTACAGGAGTGTGAAAACTATACAGGAATTATGTTGTCAGTTCTTGGAAAAATATTAAGTAGAATTATTTTATAAAGATTAAACGACGCTAGTGATTAAAAGCTAAGAGATGAACAGGCAGGTTTTCGGTCAAACAGATCCTGTACTGACCAGATAGCCACATTAAGTATAATAATAGAACAAAGCATTGAACTGAACTCACCACTTTACATTGGATTCATAGACTATGAAAAAGCATTTAACAGCATTGATATGGAATCTCACTGCAAATTGATGGAACACTATGGAATCCCACAGAAAACTATTAACCTAGTAAAGGCAACATATAAAGACATTAAATGTCGAGTTCTTCATGAGGAAAAGCTAACAGATACATTTGAAATAAAAACAGGTGTGCGACAGGGATGTCTTTTGTCGCCTCTCTTATTTTTACTGGCTATAGACTGGATTATGAAGACAGTAACTGCTAAACCAAGCGTGGAATTCAGTGGACACCTACAAAACAGCTTGATGATGTGTGCCGACACACCTCCATGACATGCAACAAGACTGTCAAGAATCTTCTCTCGTTGTCTTCCTCCATCCCTCCTTCCACAGAGTATAGAAGGCAATTCCTGTCATGTCACCTAACAGGTAGTTCCAATACGTAGACACCAAATGTCTCCCTTCAATCATCAACAACAACAAAAAAATAATAAATAATTTCAACTTTATCCGCAAGGTCATTAACACAAAAAGAGACAGGATTACGAATGCCAGCATCATTATGAGAATCGTCCCCGGAGTTATAATGTTCGTGCTTTTTGCGACGCCTGTAGGGGAAGAGGGAGCTGTATGAAACAAAACCCGGTGCAATGAAATCGATTCTCTCATTAATTTATATTAATATAACACTCATTACATCGGTTTATATCTTGCCTGGCTGAGGCCTATTTGATTTGAAATTATGGTGATCTCGCGAGACTTCGAACCGTCTTGATTTACATAGGCACATTTTATCTTCTATCAGTTTTGAAAATAGTGATGACCTCGGCCATATCCATTTTTGTCACTACTTTCACAACCACAAGGCCATCATTATATTGTATCAATGCAAATTTTAGGACAACAACTACGTCGAATTGTTGAATTCGCCTGTTTGTGATTTCTCATTCAGTTTGTACTGTACCCAGCTACTTCTTCTTGATCTTAGGCTAAGAATGGAATGCAACGCTTGGTCTGATTGATAGGGTCTCCAATATCAATTTCATACTGCAGTGGTTGCATCTAGTGAGTCTTGAGCTGCAATCCATTTTCACGAGTGGGATTTTCTGTAATTTAATACTTTGCCCCCTCGTTTTTTTTTTTACTTCTTTATCATCATCTTCTTGCCGTCGTCATCGTCTACTCTCATTTCTTTTAATCCTCCTTTCTTTTTCCTCCACATTCTCTCTAAAATCATTTCTTCATCTGAAAAATCATTTAATCTCCCTCTTTAGCGTTTTTCTTTGCTCTTCTCTATTCTCTTCTTTGTGTTTCTTCTGCATTATATTATTTCGTTCCTTATCACTGTTGATATCTTTGCATGTTCCTTCCTTGTATTTCTCTTTTACACTCTCCCTCCTGTCATGCCCTCTAAGTTCTGTTCTATTTCTCATTCTTCTTCTTCTTCTCATTCTTCTTCTTCTTCTTCCTCTTCTTCTTCTTTTTCTTCTTTTTTTATTTTATTGTTCTTCTTATTCTTCTTTATCTTCTTCTTTTTTTCTGTTTCTTCTGTTTCTTCTTCTTTTTCTTCTTCTTCTTCTTCTTCTTCTTCTTCTTCTTCTTCTTCTTCTTCTTCTTCTTCTTCTTCTTCTTCTTCTTCTTCTTCTTCTTCTGCTGTTCTTCTTCTTCTTCTTCTTCTTCTTCTTCTTTCTTTGTCTTCTTCTTCTTCTTCTTCTTCTTTTTCTTTTCTTCTTCTTCTTCTTTCTTCTTCTTCTTCTTCTTCTTCTTCTTCTTCTTCTTTTCTTCTTCTTCTTCTTCTTCTTCTTCTTCTTCTTCTTCTTCTTCTTCTTCTTCTTCTTCTTTTTTTTTTTTTCTTTCTTCTTTTCTTCTTCTTCTTCTTCTCCTTTCTTTCTTCTTCTTCTTCTTCTTCTTCTTCTTCTTTCTTCTTCTTCTTCTTCTTCTTCTTCTTCTTCTTCTTCTTCTTCTTCGTTTCTTCTTCTTCTTCTTCTTCTTCTTCTTCTTCTTCTTCTTTCTTCTTTCTTCTTCTTCTTCTTCTTCTTCTTCTTCTTCTTCTTCTTCTTCTTCTTCTTCTTCTTCTTCTTTCTTTCTTTTTTCTTCTTCTTCTTTTTCTTCTTCTTTTTCTTCTTCTTCTGCTTCTTTTTCTTCTTCTTCTTCTTCAGTTTCTTCAATTTTTCGAAATCACTTTTTCGATTATTCTGTTTGTCTGCCTAAATGTCTGTTCATACAGCAAAAAAAAAAAAAAAAAAAGAACACATGGTTCGGTATTTCGATAGAATATACCAGTAACTGTCGACTATGTGGCTAAGTCAAAGCGAACGCTTCGTAATGCCGGGATCCGGGCCATGCGCCTTGCGTTGGTTTCGACAGTGGTGTCAAGAAAGCCGAACGTCCAGAGGCAATGGCAAACGACTGGACGTAAATTTGCCTAGAAAAACTCTACAACAGCCAGGGGCTGTTGGGGTTGGTTCTGCAACGTCCTGTAAAGGATTCGCAACTAACCGTATACCAAATAACTGCTAACACAGTCGCTAAAACTAAATAGATATGATATGAAAGCAAGAGGGCGACAAATAGAAGATGGAATGATGACACAAAAATTATTCTATATCCACACGGAATGAGAGTAGCTACTGCTACCTGTCCAGCATTGGATCGCAAATTGTTCCTCCTTACGCCGCTTTGAAGCAAAAGACAAAATTCATTATGCTTTTTCTTGCTCACAAACTTAACGTTCGTATATATTAAAACGAGGTCAAGCATTCTATTATGCATATTTTCTAACCAGTTAGAATGTTATTTACTATGGATATAATCCTATCTGTCACCTCAATATGGGATGCAATTTTTCGTCATTCTCAAGCCGACCCCGGCTGTAGTCAGCGGCCCTAATATAATCTAACGTTTGAAGGGGACCTCTCCCCGTGTGATCCTCGTCCGCATGGTAGCACTTTGTGTCTCCGTGTGTTTATCGGTTGATGGATGTCCTGGTGGGGTTAAATCGCACTCGCTTTGAAAATCCGAGGGGTAAAAAAAACCAAACTAGATTGGATAAGTAATTTGAAACTATTAAAAAAAAACATTTAAATGCATAAACATACATTGATACAGGTATAATTTTAGATGTAGGTTACGAAACCAAATTAAACACAGACACACACACACAGACACACACACACACACACAACATTTAAACTGGAGAAAGTGTATCTCAAAAGATGCATCAGTACTAAGAAATGAAAAAGGGTAATAACGTCTGATCAAGTTTGAACAGATCTTTTTACAACTTAGTAATTTACAGGATAGAAAATGAAAATGGCAGAAGGGAAATTCCAGAAGGTGCGAATAAGCAGTGATGCTGATGATTAGATAGCCATCGCTAGGTTTGCTAGATTTGTGGGTTTACTACTAAGACTGGTTTACTAATTAGGAGAATCGGAATGACTTGGTCGTCGTTTCATGGAGGGTTCAGGTGAAATGTAAATTTAAACTCTCCAGCCGCTGGCTTTAGGAGTACTTCTGGAGCACTGTTTAGCGCACTCCCTGAAGATTTAGTAAACCGCTCCCCTATCCGTGTAGAGCTGTTCATATATATATATATATATATGTGTGTGTGTGTGTATATATATATATATATATATATATATATATATATATATATATATAGAGAGAGAGAGAGAGAGAGGCAGATAATAAAAAGAGTGATGTTTGAATGATGATGGCTAGCGCTACATCATTCATACACATTATAGGTCTAACTATACGCGTGAGCAAGTAAAAGTAAGTGACCACTTTCCATTCCTTTAGGTGTACTGGGCATATAGGGCTAGACCTACTTCGACAGACCAGTCGGCACTTGGTATGTGATGAGTTTTCCTCACGCCGGCCACCTTTATTTCTCATGACTTTTACCTGGTACTCATTTGAGGCTACTTTACACTGTAATTACCAAATAGTGTTTACATAAGTTGCGTATCATCATCATTATCAGGTGCCTTGCCGTGGGCGTTCATGCCTCTCCACAATCTGTGATCTCCTGCAGCATGTATCAGTTGGTGTGCTTACACACCTCCGTGCTATGCAACAAGACTGTCAAGAATCTTCTCTAGTTGTCTTCCTCTATCACTCCTTTCGCAGATCTTACAGTGCTCACAACATACAACATTTTCCCTCTTCTCATAACATAGCTACAAAATGATGACTGTCCCCTTCAATGTCTGTGATCACTTGTCATTGGGCTTCGCTTCTTGCATATTCATCTCACATTACACCTCTGTGCATTCTGTAAGCTGCTTTTTCCGCCTCCTTTCAGCTGAACACGAACGACCCTGTAAGTCAGTATCAGATTACAGAACAAGCCAGGAGCTACTGATGTTATGAGCACCAGCATGGAGAACTTCACTACCACCACGGACTCCGCCGGCTCTATGGGAAGTCTTCAAGCATCGAAGGACGCGAAAGCTGAGGATACCATCTCTGAGACAGAACGCTTGGTCATAGTCGTCATGCTGTCATGTTTGTCTGCGGTGGGAATTGTCGGCAATGCCCTGGCCATCTATGTCTTCACCAACCTCAAACAAAAGGTAATAAATGTAAGTTTATTTTTGGTGTAGTGTCTTTAGGACATGATTGTTCACAGATTGATCACATGCTGGTCTTGTATATTCAAAGTATCATTGTTTTCAGATTGATCACATGCTGGTCTTGAATATTCAAAGTATCTTTGTTTGCAGATTGATTACATGCTGGTCTTGTATATTCAAAGTATCTTTGTTTGCAGATTGATCACATGCTGGTCTTGTATATTTAAAGTATCATTGTTGTTGTTCTCATCAGTTTGCCATGTTAATATTTCTTCAGTTGTAGTGGGTTTCTGAGCTCTATTATAGGGGACAAGAAAAGACACACAGCCTCCCAAAGAAACATCTCGTAAGTGTCAATTAACTGTGAGCTTTCTTCAAAGACGGGGTAAATCTGTCTGAGAGACCTGGAACCACCAGTTTGCACACACATCAGTCAAAACTGTAAGACAGATGTGCACCCAGATTCTAGAATAGACTAATGTCCAGAATGAATAAATCAGAACTTTTCGTCAAGGAACGCGAAGAAGACGAAGAAGTAGTAGTGTTTACAATTTAGAGTATTATTCTCCACACTGACTGCCCTTTCTCGTTTTGAAACTTATAGCATGATATTTTTTTTTTCTAATTCTAACTGTAGACCTCATAATTCATGCATAATTTTTCCACAAGTGACCTTTCGTGGTTTTATGACTTCAAAACGGATTTATCCTTACAATTGACTTGTTGCCATTAAAAATCAAAGTCTTATTCTTTTCAGTAACTTTTAATCATAGTTTTGTAACATCAAGGGAGGATTTTACACACCAGTTACCTATTCTAGTCATTAAAAACCAAAGCATTATTCTTGTAAACAGAATTTTATTTAATTTTAATAATAATAATAATAATAATAATAATAATAATAATAATAATAATAATAACAAAAATATATAACTAAATAAATAAAATTAATAAAGGCTGGTGGTAATTAGTAGAAAGTGTCTGTTAGATTAACGCTCAAGAAACGGATGCCTAAAAAAAAGGTCCTGGCACTGTGTACAGCTGCACAACATCAGTAAAACAATGTTATTCTTCTCAACATATTCTTTTCGTAGTTTTCTATCTTGAAAGCACAATTTCCCTCACAAGTCTCAATTGAAATCACTAAAGTAATACCCATTGTCGTTTCCTAACTTTAAAGTATAGTTATTATTTTTTGTTTCGTTAAGTCTTTGAATGAAGACATTACAATTTATTCTTCCCATAAATTCTCCACTATAATATTCCAGTTTCGTCCTTTTTAGGATGAAATTTTTTGTTATCTGAAGCCCCACCCTGGCTTTTGCCAGGGGCCGCAATAGAAGCAGGCCATAAATATGGCCAATTGTCTTAACGCGGTTTCTGGGACATCTCCACGGCGATACTCATCCGCATGGTGGCAATTTGTGTCATCGGGTGTTTATCGCTTGTGTGATGCCCTAATGGGGTAGAAAGTCCGTTTGTCAACATTCCTTTAACAAGTTAAGTTTCGTGTTAAATTACTACATATTTACTTATCCATTATTTTTAGGATTCTCTTTTTTATCTTCTTTAATTTGCGTATCCTTAAAGACAATTTTTTGTAAATATTTTTATTTCCTTTTCTGTTTATTTCGCCGCCTGTTGAGTATACTTTTTAATAGTTTTCATTCGTTGACAGAGATATTTGACGAAACTTTTGTTTGTAAGAGTGTGCATGTATTTTCCTTCTTTGAATTTCTTAGTCACATGTTGTAATATGTCCACTTATGTGCCGGTGTCTGTGGCTTAGGCGTTGCGAACGCTCTTCGTAATGCCGGGGTGCCGGGTTCGATCCCAGCTGCGGGCCTTGGGCCTTGCTTGCGTTTCGAAAGTTGTATCGAGAAGCTACCGTCCAGCAATGGCAAACTACTGGACGTAAATTTGCCTAGAAAACCCACAACAGCCAAAAAATGCTTGTGTAGGTTCTGCAACGTCATAGAAATGATACGCAAATTTGAAAAAAAAAATGTGTGGGTAAAAACTAGACTGCAGTAAGTTCTATTTTCAACACTAGTTTGTTTTATTGCATGATTATAATGCATGTTCCATGTAAATATGATACAGTTAGTCAAAAGGTTATCATCATTGTACATCAAACCATTCAGTGCTCGGCTAGAGGCTTAGATTTAAATGTTAGGTATCTAGCGTGGCAGTTAGAAATGGGGGAATTAAAAAACGATCGAATAATCTAAGACTGACATTATTGCTCTCGGAACATTTAATACTCTAACGTTTTCAGTAACCAAAAATAAAATTCTGCAAACTGATTGTGCCAGTATTGTTGTGACTGCGGTTGCGCATTGTCTGTTCCCTCACACATGAAGTCACTACTCACTTTAAGCTTAGACATTCTCGTCACATGTGACTGATCTGTCTGGGGATATCATTTTGAACCTAGTGACGTAAAGACACTTCAGTAACTCACAGTCGCTATGTCAAGCAGCGCAGAGAAAGGAGTCGTCAGCGTAAACGCACTAAAGAACACGCTTTGGAGAAGATTAGAGCTATTGTGGGTATTGCCACACGTGCAACGAAGATGATCCTGAAACGAACAATGTTTTATCTGTGTTGTTCGTTCATCACAAATTACAAGGACCACTCTTTCTGTCATCCATCATGAAACCATAGCTGATGGTCTGTGAGTCCGGGGGAGACTTATACGCTTAATATGGGCCCGGAAGAATCTGAAAGTAACGAGGACAGGGAACAGTGTCTGTAGACAAAAAGTTTATTACATATGTCTTTCTAGCCTGCCTTCGCTGTCCATCTGCCTTCTTTCTAAATGTCCCGCAAGTCGCTACACCTCTTCGGACGGAAGTTTGTCATATGGTGAAGGAAAGAGTGACTTGGGCGATAAACAGATTTAAAATAGTGAAGAACTGTGCAGTTTCATCGATCGACCTCACTTTCTCGCCTGTGTCTATCTGGATCGAGCTTCATGTCAAGTAAAGACAACTGGAGATGAAATTAGGTGCAGTGGATGTATTTAGTGTTCAGCGTGTCTCACCGTGCTCTTAGTGCTCCACAGTACCTTGCATGTACGCGCTGAATTTCTATTGAACCAAGTGTTTACTTCCTCCGCACATTTAACCGAGTACAGTCTTTGCAAGCTCGGATACGCCGATCCTACAGCTACTAACCTTTCGGCTACCCTCACCTGGTTTAGCTGGCCAGTCAATGCTTTTGCCCAGGAGGTGACCACTGCTATGAGCCACTAGTGAGAGCTGGCTGTCAGACTTGGAGCAAATGGCAGGTGAACTGTTCCGAGAAGGCGTTGACAGGCCCCCAACACAGGAGGTACTACCAATATCTGGGAACCCAAACCTCCCCATCTATTTTGTTACTTTATGACATGATCCTAAAATATTTTTGTCACCTCTGCTTTAGCATAAGTAGATTTTGGTGAAGATAGAAGAAAGAGCATAGCTCCTTTACTAAATATCTAAGGCGGAAGAGCAATGGGTCAGAGCCTTGTTTTAGTGTGTAATTATAATATGCTGAGCGGCAGATAAATATAACAATATGTTTAAAATAATATATAATGTATGAAGAAATACTTAAAACCTCTAAAACACTTCTGAACTTCAGTGTTGGTCAGAATACCAGCGAGAAAGTCTGACCTGTGTAGGGTTATGATAACATTGGGCCGGGTATGCAGAGAGTGGTTAGCAGGTGCTACGGAGGTTGAAGTCCATTAGTTGATTCACAACAATTCACGCCCAGGTGATCTGATTATCTATATAGATGGTTCAGTGTTGAGAAGTGCATTAGGGTTTATAGCGAAAGCCAGTGGAAAATCTTTAGTGCAAGACAGCCTAGCATTTGCACCACAACATCTAGCATGAGAGTGGAGGTGGAGGCGATAACTGCAGCTCTCCGGTGGCTAGAGAACAAGATGCATACACATGTCTTAATTGTAACAGACTCTGAAAGCATGCTGAAAAAGGTGAGGACAGAGTGGCTAGCTTCACTGGGAAGGTCACGGGTAGTGAGCGTACTTTGGATCTTTTCTCCAGGCAATGCCGGTGTGGTGGGTAATGAATATTCAGTCAGTTTGGCTGGATCCGCACCACTGGGTGGTGAATTGATACATGACAAGGCAGATGTGGTCAAGGCCCTTTGGGAACAAGCAACGGAATCAGTAGAGAAAGAAGATTATTATGGCCCGTAGAGAATGAGGCACCTGGGTGTAACCAGAGGGACTGGCCAACTCACTACACTCAGAGGAAATGCAAAAGGGACTTTTAACCAGATTATGACCGGTACCATCAGTATTGGAACTCTGGCTGCTGAAGAAGAGGACAGGCCATGCATGGGAATGCCCCGAGTGCTGTGATGTCACTTCTTGACTCAGATCAACTTAATTCAGTGATGGTCCAGAACTGTGTGTGCAAATTGTTTTACATATTTGACATAATTGAATGCAGACAGTTGGTTCTGTGCCTCTCAGGCAGATACAGTTCGACCTCGAAGGAAGCCCCTAATTGGTCGACTCTTAGGACATGCTTAAGGGTGGGGCACTTAGTATATTCCTGTTTTCTCTACAATGAGACCCCCAAACCCACACGAGAAGAACCACCTGATGAAATTGCAGGGTCCCTGGCTGCCTAGCAAGAAGCTGTTATTGGTACAAGCGGGAAGGGAAAATTATACGATAGGCACTTATCAGAGTGTCAGGGTGTGCAACAAAAGCGAAACGCAAAACACACACATTGGAAATCCAGTGAGAACGACTTTCGTGTGAACATTCTCACTGACAAATTATAGACTGAAAGCACGCATACTAAACCTGACAGTCTTTTTCTGTCAATGGCTTTATGCAGAGGAGCATTTGGGAAAATGTTGGGGGGGGGGGGATACTAGTTTTATCCGAGGAGTAGGCGGAAATACAATCTGATAACTTCATGTTATGGCTGAGCTAAGACCTTAGCCTTGATCAACAGCTGGTCCAGGAGGGAAGCTCCAAAAGGCGGACAGGGAGAGCGCTGCCATTCTGATCGGGCAGTGTCTGCAGCATTCTTTGTTCTAAAGGTATGGCTGTTTCCTTTGGAGTCATTAGCAATGCAGACCGAGTGAGGAACCACTTACTTGGGCAAAACATGGTCTGAGTAATCCTAGCAAAGATTACTAATTGATGAAGATGGTGTAGGACATGTTTGTAGACTGTCCGGTGATACTTTGGCAAGGGCAGCTTTTCGGTGGACGGCAGAAGGAAAAAAATGAAACGGCAGTGACCTAAGGAAACTTGTGGAAGTCCTGCAGTAACAGAGATTTAAAAAAACTAAAATGGCATGGTATACTATAGGCGAGTACTGAAATGTTTTATCGAGCATGTTATGTTAAATGGTAGTGAATCTTGGAATTTCAGTAAACAAATTACGAAGAGTTTTGATGCAACTGAGATACGGTTCTTGAGAAAAATGTTGCGAATACTTTGAACTGCCAAAATAACTACCAATGATTGCTGCACATGGCTTATTAACGTAGAATATATACAACAAGGAGAAGGAGACAAACAAAGTTCTTTCATCATGTGATGAGAAAAAGAGCACTGGAAAATATCCTGACGACTGGAAAGATCACTGGTAGAAGAGTCAAAGGCAGACAAAGAGAAATTATGGTGATGGCATGGAGGAATTCATCAGTGGAATTGATTCAGAACACCAAGACCAAGATCTGTGGAGATGCATGAACACCCACGCCAGTTGGCAAGGCATTTGATGATGATAAGATGGTGATGATACCATAGGCAGAACCGCAGCAATCAGCAGACCGTCAGCAGTGGAGATCTATTCTCTGAATGTCTTATGTGTACAAAGTGAACAGGGTAGAAACCTCGTGCGATGGAGATGAGCAACTTTCTCCCTAGCCTTAACTGGTATCGCCATAGGCTGTGCTTCTCATGCCTCCTATACATAATGGAACACTATCACTGGAAGAACGACAAACTACCAACCTACAAAAGCTGGAGCACCGCGACTCATGGATCCGACGCTTGCCTATCGCTCTAGAGCAGCGGCTCTCAACCTGTGTGTCGCGACCTTTCTGTTTGTCGAACGACCATTTCACAGGGGCCGCCAAAGACCATCGGAAAACATATATTCATTGAAGTTGTGAAGTAGCAACGAAAATAACTGTATAGTTGGGGGTCGCCACAACATGAGGAACTGTATTAAAGGGTCGCCGCATTAGTTGAGAAACCTCACTGTCTTGGATTAGAATTCACACCGAGGCAAATTTGTATAAATTGACCTGGGCTCACAGATCGACCCTGCGTAAATATGTAAGTAAGTAAAGAACCCTCTTCCACGCATTTACGCGTATAGGGCATATAGGGCTAGATCTATATTTTATAGACCAATCGGCAGAAGATGGGTGAATGGTTGATGTGGTCAACATCACACCGGCCACCTATGCTTCCCGGGACTGCACCCGGTACCCACTCAAGGGTGGGTCATTTTTTGGAAAAAAAGGCACGAACCCACGACCTTCAAGTCTAGCCGCTGTGCCAAAGAGAACTCCTGGCGTAAATAAAGTACCAGGTAAATGTATGGGAAGCATAGGAGGCCGGCATGATGCTGACTACATCAGCCGGGAAAAAAAAACTTTCTATTGAAATCTAAGTATAGAACTATACGCCAGATGCGACAGTGGAATGCAAATAGTTCTTCGTGCTTTTATTTTTATAAAGTTGCCGGAAATTGACTGGTTACATCTTAACTAAATCAAGTGCTTTTTAGTGAAAAGGGCGACAGACTGAAGAGGGGGAAATCGTGGCTAGGTCGGGCAGAAGATGTTATTAGGCAAATATGCAGCCTAACCGACATCATACCTGGTGCAGAATGGATACCTGTGCTGAGGCTTTATTTGTACATTTTCCTGTATTGTCACCTCAACAGGGATGTAGAGAAAAAATCCTGTTGCTGTTAATGCAGAGGTCAACGCTCTCATCGGTGAAAATTCAGACGAAGCAGATGCAATAATCTATACAGACGGATCCGTTATACGCCAAAGAAGAAGCAGTGGGCATTTACAGCACGCTCAGCGGGCAGAAGAACAGTCAAAGAAGCCAACGGCGCCTTCTCCATGACAATTGCATGACGATGGAGGTGATGGCAGTGACGCAAGCGCTTGCCTGGCTTGAAACACAAAAATACACCCGCGTGTGAATACTCAGTGATTCAGAGTATGATCCGGAGGGTTCAGCAGGTTCAGTGCGAAGACAATGGCTTGAATCATTACAGAAGTCCACTGTGCGTGGTCACCTTTATTTTTTGTTCCGAGACACGCAGGCGTCGATGGAAATTTCAAGAGCTGACCGGTTGGCTGGATCCGCTATCACTACCAGACGGTCAGCCTATGGATCATGTTGATATTATCAATGCCCTCAGAGAAATGGGAAGGATAGAGGACTTTGGTGGCAGGAATCAACATCACTCACCAGAATGGCAGACTGGGAATTAAGATCGGTGAGACGCACACCAGACACGCCATAAGACTTGTTAATCAACATAGAACTGGTACTATAAGCAATCAGGAAATAGCACCTATGGACATGTCCGGAGTGCAATGAGGATAACCCAACAGCTAACTAACTAACTAACTAACTAACTAACTAACTAAAACTAACTAACTAACTAACTAACTAACTAACTAACTAATCTTAACTAAAACTTAGAAGCCGCAATAGCTTAGCAGCTGGACACCGAACATTACATGGTCAAATCCACATTAATTTCATAACAAACCTTGGCTACCAGGTTGACCCAGCCTAAAACAGGTACCAGGAAATATCCTGGAAAATAAAGGCGTCTGTATGATGTTGACCCCAACCCCATTTAGTCGATGGTTCTATACAAATATAAGTTCAGCACCACATACTCGATACGCCGAAATAGCATGAAAAAAGTTCTTCACTTGTGCCTCTGTAACTGGAATGGACTGTTTATATATAAGTTAGTTGTATGGTTACATCTTCCACCCGCTGTAAACGCAAAAGGAAAGTTCTGGTTGTTCGCCTTCTTCTGGACTTTAGTTTTATTTTCAGAAATCGAGTCTTGCCTGTACACCCGTTTTACGCACATGTTTTATCTACATGCAGACTATTGGTTTATTTCTCCTCAAACGGATGCACTCCGACTTAAAAGTTAACTCATAATTAGTCGACTAATGCGACATGCTTGTTTCGGAGACAGTGCGTTTATTCTTTTTTTCCCCCACAATGGGTTCTCAGAACCCGCACAGTGAGTATGGTTAAAAAATGCTAAGTAGACAGCATATATAAAGTATTTTAACTGTTGTGTTCTACCTTTCAGATGACCTCCACCATATTCATCCTTACGTTGGCTGGCACTGATTTTCTCACTTGTCTCATCACCATTCCCTTCACCATCGCGATCGAGTCCCTGGAGTATCGGGTTTCCGTCGACGCCATCTGTAAGGTGTACCACTTCCTGATCACCACCACAGTTCCCTTCTCGTGTGTGATCATCGTGGCGATAGCAGTGGATAGGTAAGATGCAATCTGCAATGAGCACCTAATAATGTCGGGATATCTAGAAGGTTCTTTTACTTTCCGTCGGCTGTAAACTCCGGCGGAACGTTTTGGATTTTCTTCCACCTCTGGACATTGGTCGTGTTGCAGAACCCAACTGTTGCGTGCCCATCCGTTTTACTAATCTGACTTATTTGAATGCAGAATTTTGCTCCTTGCCCCACAGACAGATGCACACCTTTAAAAAAGGCCTCAAATTAATCTACTTTTACGACATGCTTGTTAAGGAGGCAGTGGATCTATTCTTTTTTTCCCAAAAATGGGGCCCTGGAACTCGCCTGGAGAGGGAAATTATTTAGTTTCAAAGACGTTTAGTATGTTTAGGTATGTACTAGGTGCTGCGGTGACCTTGTGACTAGAAGCTTGCCTGACGGCCTGAAAATCTAGGGTTCGAATCAGCGTCGGGACGAATTTTATCCAACAATGATCTTGGTTCCCAGTTCGACCTAGCCAAAGATAGATACCAGGAATTGTTCTGGGAAGTAAAGGCACAATCGCCCATGAGCTGGGTCTTACGAATCAAGCATCATTTGCTCGATGCGCCGTTGGCGTAAGAAAGATCGTGTATTTTATTTCAGTACGCAGTATTAAAACCACGACACGGGGGCTACAACGGGATTTTAGTGAGACTACAACAAAGACAAATGTACTGGACTGACAAGCAGTATTTGTTTGAGACGTCATTCATATAGGAATCAGAATGTTACGTGACCATAGATTCAGAAAAGAAAGGAAGGACGGTGGAGTATATTCTACGGTGGAGAGAACAATTTTAATGCTGATGATATTGGAGGTTACGGTGTTGGTGGTGAGAAAGATGTAGCATATAAAATGATAATAGTAAAAGTGATAACTATGTAAAATATAAGACGATATTGGTGAATCAAATCTCTTTACCATAAACAAAATACAGCAGTCAGAACAGCTGGTGAAACATCGGATTAGTTTGAGGTGCAGATAGGGGTGAGAACGGGCTGCATTCTCTCTACATAAAGCCTGTGGCAGCTTCGACTCACTCAAATTTTTAGGTAAACCTGTCACTGAACTCCGATATTCAGTAGACACAGTTTTCATTTCCAACAGTGTACAAGGCTTAGAATAACTAATTTTCACCGTCGAAAAGCACAAAGATGAAGAGAATCTATTTATGATTCTGAAAAAACAAACTAAAAAAAAAATGACTACAATGAAAACAGCACAGCAACCACGTATTCAAATCGACAACGCTGAGATTGAAAATATTGGAGATTTTGAATGTGTAGGTTAAAAAACGAACAACAACGGTGACTAAACAAAAGAAGTCAGAAAAAAGACTAGCTTTAGCAAAGCAGAGGCTAAACAGCATGAAGAACCTTAGGCATAGCACCTGCAAGCAAGTTAAAGCAACCATTTTGAGATGATGAATCTTTCCCGTGGCAACATGTGTGTAAGTCATGGACTCTCATTCAGACTTTGAAGAAAAAAATCGGAGCTTTTGAATTGAATATCTAAAGAAATGTTATTATAATACTGTGGACAAAGAAGAAGAAAAACGACGTCATCCTTCATGACTAGACCATCAAGGAAAACCTGGCTCATAAACAGCATTCTCCCCCGAAAGCGGACGTAGTTTGTACGTCAAGTGCCATGGTTTTCTGGAGAAAACCGTGATGGATTGTGCGGTTTCCGAAAGACGAGGCAGAGGCTGACCTATGCGAACGGGGTTATAGAACACAGACGATGCAATGGCTCTGAACTCATATGTCATTGTTTTGTTTTCCTCGTGAATTGTGATTTTAGTGACACCGTCATTGCTGGCGATAATGATAACAGTGATTATGCTGAACCTAAAGTGTTGATCTGACAGAGCTATTGTATATGGATTCTCGCCATTGTCTATCAGCTAGACGTTTGCCTGCGGATCGGAAGGTCTTTGGTTCGATCCCTGACGGAACCAGGATTTCTTCAAAAATGACCTTGGCTCCCAGGACGACCCAGCCTTGAGTGGGTACCAGGTGCATTCCTGGGAAGTAAAGTCGGCCGTCGTGATGCTGACTAAATCAGCCACCAAGTGCCCATAGGTCTATAAAATATCAGTCCAGCATTATATGCCTAATACGCCTGAAGGCGGAAAAGGGTCCTTTTACATTACTTTTTACTTACTATATATTGATGAAGATGCTGTTTTTCGTATTGTTGTTGTTGCTCTTACTAACATTATATTTATATTGGTAATATCAAAAAAGAAAATTTTGAAGACGACAAAGAAGACCTGCATAGACACACCCACACACACACATACACGCACACATACACACACACACACACAGAGAGACGCACATAGGGTTAAGATATAAACATTTTTATGAATGTGTCGAATTTCATAAATATCATCATCATCATTATCAGTTCTAGTTATGCCTAGTGGCACATGAGGCTTCGGAGACGACTTTCCATGCTTTCCTGTCCTTTGCAATCTTCAGTGTAGTTTTCCATGTCAAAGATGCCGCACTCAGGTCACTTTCCATCGTTCTTCTCCATGTTGTTTTTGGGCGCCCCTTTTTTCTCTTTCCCTCTGGTGTCCATGTGAGAGCTGTTTTGACAGGTATATCAGGATTCATTCTCATAACGTGGCCAAGCCATTTCTATCTTCTCTTGGTAATCATACTGTCTATAGTTTCTTGGTTTGTGATTTGAAGTAGTTTAGTGTTTGAGATTGTATATGGCCAGAAAATTGTGGTATTTCTACATAGACATGTGTGGTGGAAGGTGGACAGCTTGTGTGCACCCTTTTTTGTCATTCTCCAGCATTCCGCTCCATAAAGAAGCACTGGCAAAATGATGCTCTTGTAGAGTCGGAGTTTCGTACCTCTGCAGTAACTGTTGCATTTCCAGATTTGTCTCATCCTTCCAAAAAGCAGCTCTAGATTTGTTCAGGTGTGTCTGTATGTCCTCTTCGGTCCTCCCAGTAGGGATACCACACTGCCAAGATATGTGAAATGTTCTACATTTTCAAGAGTTTGGTTATTTATGGTCACTAGTTGTTGGTTTGGACTGCTTGTCATGAATTTCATAAATATAAACACAATCAAATGCAGCGATTCTGAAGAAAATGGTATGAAAAGACTGTTGCTGAAAGTAATCAACAAGAATCAGCGAAACTATTTCGATCATATTTGAATACATAAAAAAATGTGTTAAACACCAAACTGTAGGCGAAAGTGCGAAAACAAGGAGACAAAAGATAGATGAAAAGCAGTCTGAAAGATCGTTCAGACACCACCAGAGACACTGTGTTAGTGCTCACTTGCAGCAAGCCTTTACTGCGGAGTCAGTACCTGATTGATAGTGACGATGACGATACTGGCGATGAAGACGATGACGTAGACGACTAAGACAAATAACAGGTACCACAAATACTAATACTGGTGTGTGTGTCCCGCTCCGCCCCCCCCCCGCCTCCACATCGCATCAACAGATACATGTGCATCTGTCATCCCTTTCACCACTGGATGACAATTAGGAGAGCTAGGATCATTATCAGCGTTCTCGTCTGCGTTATCTTCATCATCGGAGGCATCGCCTGCATGCACTACACCATCTACACCCAGTTGACCCGTCACGGCAATACAACAAGCATGCCTCAGATGCCCTACTTGCTGATGAATGTCACTTCTACTCAAGATCCGGACCTAGAAAACTCCTCATTTTCTACTGACCCAACGCTGACTGAATTTCAGTTCTCCTCTGTTTTAAACAACACCAGCATCTGGGATCGATTAGAAGAAAACCAGGCAACTGACTTGTTGTTCCCACCACAGAATGTGACCCCGAGGACTTTCACAGAACCACATGTGGGCATCTGTAATGTCAACACTCACGCCATTAATCAGCGTTTTTTCAGCGTTTTCAGAACTGCATATTCTGCCATATTCCTTGTTTCCTGTATCATTGTTTTGGTTCTCTACAGTATCATCTACAGGTAAGAGAAATCTTCCTCATTGTTTTTTCTTCTTCTGCTTCTGTTTCTTCTTCTTCTGCTCCTCCTTCTCTTCCTACTCCTCTTTTTCGCATTGAAAAGAGCTAGAATGCATTCTATACGTGTGTTGTTAAAACTGCTATATTTTACCACTTCGCTATTGTACGTGCTTTTCTCGTGCTGGTTGTTATTGTTCATCTTCTTCTTCTTCTTCTTCTTCTTCTTCTTCTTCTTCTTCTTCTTCTTCTTCTTCTTCTTCTTCTTCTTCTTCTTCTTCTTCTTCTTCTTCTTCTTCCTCTTCACTGTGTCCCTCCACCCCTTCTTCGCCATTCTCCGTCATACTCTTCCCTTCCACCCTCGTAAACAGAGAATAAGAATATATGATGATGATGATAAAATAAGGGAATTGGAGCAGAGAAAAATAAAATGAAGAAGAAGACGACGACGAAGAAGCAGAAACAAAAGATGATGATGAAGAAGAAGAAGAAAAAGAAGAAGAAGAAAAAGAAGAAGAAGAAAAAGAAAAAGAAGAAAACGAGGAAGAAGAAGAAGAAGAAGAAGAAGAAGAAGAAGAAGAAGAAGAAGAAGAAGAAGAAGAAGAAGAAGAAGAAGAAGAAGAAGAAGAAGAAAAAGAAGAAGAAGAAAAAAGAAGAAGAAGAGGAAGAAGAAGAAGAACAACAACAACAACAAAAACAACAACAACAACGAAAACAACAACAAAAACAATAACAACAACAATACAACAACAAATACAAGAACTAAAACAAGAAGAAGAAGAAAGAAAACCAAGATGAACAAGATAAGGAACAAGAAGGAAAAGAAGAAGACTGTGCTTCGTGCGGAAACATTCAGGAAAGGCTCAGTGAACTGGGTGCAAGGAGCGACTTGCCCAATGGTTTAAACGCTTGGCTCTCAAGCGGATACCTGGGTTCGAAACCTCGGTGAGGCTGGGGATTTTTTCTGTTGTGGGCAAAATAAAGTCCACGACTGTTCAGATGAACAGTCCTCATCTGAACAGTCGTGGTGACAGCACTAGCCATGCGGCCGTAAATCCGCAGACTCAAAGACACTCCTGTCTACACTGCAAAAGTGGTATGATAAAGGCAGCTATTTGCAGTGTTGGCAGAACTGGGTGCATCCTCGGAGGCCTGGTGTGCACTAAACGCACATCCTTGTAACCCAACATTTGTAGGCTGGGGAATAAATGTCGTTTCGCCAACAGATGTGACACAGACAGAATCTAAGAGCATGAAATTTCCAAATTCTAGAAGTTATAAGGATACATAGACAGACAGGGACACAGAAGACAGAGCATACAGTCAGATAATATTGTTGAAATTTTCTATTGTTTCTTGATGTAAATATCTGGGGTGCATAATTCTATTGTCGAAAAAATTGAGGGGAGGGGGGGGGGGAGGAACACAATACAAGTTTTGACTTTGTTGATTATATTATTTTGTCTGGGGAAAAGTGATCCTTCCTTTCTCTCTCCTCTCACTCTTTTCTTTCTTTTTTCTCTATCTGTCTATCTATCTATCTATCTATCTATCTATCTATCTATCTATCTATCTATCTATCTATCTATCTATCTATCTATCTATCTATCTATCTATCTATCTATCTATCTATCTATCTATCTATCTATCTATCTATCTATCTATCTATCTATCTATCTATCTATCTATCTATCTATCTATCTATCTATCTATCTATCTATCTATCTATCTATCTATCTATCTATCTATCTATCTATCTATCTATCTATCTATCTATCTATCTATCTATCTATCTATCTATCTATCTATCTATCTATCTATCTATCTATCTATCTATCTATCTATCTTTCTATCTATCTATCTAGCTGTCTATCCATCTAGCTGTCTATCTATCTATCTATCTATCTATCTATCTATCTATCTATCTATCTATCTATCTATCTATCTATCTATCTATCTATCTATCTATCTATCTATCTATCTATCTATCTATCTATCTATCTATCTATCTATCTATCTATCTATCTATCTATCTATCTATCTATCTATCTATCTATCTATCTATCTATCTATCTATCTATCTATCTATCTATCTAGCTAGCTAGCTAGCTAGCTATCTGTCTATCTGTCTGTCTGTCTGTCTGTCTGTCTGTCTGTCTGTCTGTCTGTCTGTCTGTCTGTCTGTCTGTCTGTCTGTCTGTCTGTCTGTCTGTCTGTCTGTCTGTCGGTCTGTCTGTCGGTCTGTCGGTCTGTCGGTCTGTCAGTCTGTCTGTCTGTATATTTATATATCTGCTTGTCAACCTTTATTTCTCTGCATCCGCCCTCTCTCTCTCTCTCTCTCTCTCTCTCTCACTCTCTCTCTCTCTCTGTCCGTCTGTTTGTGTTCTGTTTGTGCGTAGGTTGTCCCTGTCAGTACTTTATGTGTCTGCTCTACTGCATAGTGTAATGCTTGCAATTTTACTTGAAGATATTCATTTGCCATTCTTGGTGTTGGACACACAATCAACTACACTCATTAGTAACAGTGTGTGTGTCTTGGTGAAACAGAGCGTTACTGTTGAATGTTATAGTGTGTGTTTCGTTTAGAAGTATTCTAGTCTTTGCTTCTACTTTATCAATTGTGACTGACTGTAGTATGCACGAAATACAATCAAATGTAAAAGGCAATAAACTGTTTAATTGACTGTTTAATCTATTGCTTGTGTCTTTGTTCAAACTATTTTTGAACATTTTTTTTTGTTTGTTTTTGTTTTGAAGATACAAATCGCTTTCGTTTACCAGCCTTTCTCTGGCTTCATCTCTCAGGTCTGTTATTGCCCAGCGCCGAAAGAAGCTGCGAATCAAGTCCACACAGTGCTGCCTGCTCTGGAATGCAGCAAGTATCGACGCATCACAAGAAGCCGTAGAGATGACCCAGGACTTTGAGCTCAGTCAGGTCAACGGAGAGGAACGCTACCCACCGCGACAGGGCTGCGGCGTCACTGAGTATTCAGAGACACAGAATAACGGCCTTATCCGTAAGGGCTCTTTATCCAAGGCCCGAATTGAGAAAATGCGAGTTGCTAATATCAAGACAGCCTTCACCCTGTTTATTGTCACCTTGGTCTTTATTGTGGCCTTCCTGCCTTCTTGGTTGATGGCGCTTAACTTTGTCAGCATGAACGTTATTGTATTCTACATGCACTATGTTTACAATGTTGTTAACCCGTTAATTTACGCGTTTCTCAACCAAAACTTCAAAACGGAACTGCGACGAATAGTTCGATGTCAGAATCACTGATTGATGGTGACTATATTAACTAAATCTGCTTTATGGGAACTGGTTGAACCAGTGTTTGACAACTGAGAAATATTCTTTATCAGGTAACATAAGAGAGTGGGACTGCAAGAAACAGTGTATACCGCAGGTTTAAAGTGATCTCTTTTCCACGCTAAGAGGCCCAGGGCAGTCTTTTTGTCAGGCAGAGACTAAATCTTCTTTCGCTGTGTTCCAGAAAACCGACCGACGAAATACCGGTCACGACATCAGTACTTGAGATGACATTGTTTCCATTTTTCGACAGCTCAATTGCATTACCTGCTTTTTAAGGGTTTTCATAATCTAACTGTGTCTTTAACAATTCAACATATACTTAATTCCCACTGTAACCTGGATAATGAACTAGCGGTTATAAAGTCATTTTGAGGCAACAGTCGATGTGGATTTTCATCAAAAACATTCTTCTTTGTCTTTGCTCACCAGCTGTAAGCTCCGGTGGAAAGCCTTGGTTGTTCATCCATTTGGACTATGGCTATGGACCTGCGTTTTGCATGTTCATTCGTTTTACTGGCTGTGTGCAGCTGGTTGTTCCTTGTCGCTCGGACAGACGCATTCGGAATTTAAAGGAAGCTCCGAGTTTGCTGATTCCTGCGACATGCTTGCTGGGGAAACAGTGTGTGTATTCTTATTTTCCCCTTAATGGGGCCATAAGAAAGAAAACATGCATACAGAAGTACTTTTGCCTGGTGTGTGTGTGTGTGCGGGGGGGGGGAGGGGGGGGGAGTGGACACAATTGTTGAAAGAAATACAAAAAAGAACTTTTTTTTTTAATGTGGTTTGACAATACAAGACTTTTTTTTTTTTCTTTTCATGTATACTAGCGCAACAGGTAGACAACGAGACAAATAATGTCGATAAACAGGAAAGAATAACTGTTCCAAGAATGTTCAGCCTGGGCTAGAGGCAGAGAGTGATGGAGAGTCGCTACAGAGATCCGAGCTTCTTTGTGGCACCTACAGTAATTATGAATACTGACTTATATTTCTTATTGCGTGTTAAACTTGAATCATTATGTTTTGTTATGTCATACTTGTTAAGCTTGCTTTAAATCTGTCTGTCCCAGACAACACTCTGTGTGACTGTATAATAATAAGAAGAAGAACAAGATGGGAGCAGGCACAGCAGAAGTCTACCAACCTTAAGTAGGTGGGTCCTTCTTTCAACAATTGTCTCGGCCGGTTTACCTTCCTAGGGGGCGGGCAGACTCGGGTCATGACTCCTCCTGGGCTTCCACAGACAAGACGTTAAAGTAATTGGGTTCAAGTAACAAAGTCATGCTCATGCAGACCATGATTAGACGTTCATTCATGCGTCTTAACCTTTCAGACGTGTTAGTCTAAGTTGCAGGGGCGTCGGGTTGTATTGTGTCGACGGTCCTGCCGGCGACCACGCGTTTTCTATTTTACAGGATGTGAGCGCTTTTAACAACCCCATAAAATCTAGAACTGGCCCTAGAAAACGGTGACAGCTGAAATAAACTCATGTCCTACTTAAAGTTCGAGACGACTATCGTATATGCACCGTCGCCGGCGGCAGCCAACAACAAACACTACACGGCGCGAAATATACAACTCTCAGACCATACAAAAGCAAACAACCTGATACCCCTGTGACAGAGAATCGGGCATGTGAAAGGTCAGAAAGGATGAACAAACAGCAAATCACGTCGTGTTTGGGCCCGAGTTAGTCACTTGTTCCGGTAACTGCAACTGGTACTGAGATTATGGTGATCGTCGCTGCGGTGGCAAATTAAACATCTGCCTACACCGTCCAGAAAGCAATGGCAAACTACGTAAATTTGCCTAGAAAAACCGCACAACAGCCAGGGGCTGTTGGGGTTGGTTCTGCAACGTCCTGTAAAGGATACGCAACTAACTAACCTACACGGCCAGTGACAAATCGACAGCTCCTTCATTGGACAGACCTTTATGGGACAATTTTAGCTGTTCCCAGTAGGTAGATGTTAATCGGACAACTTATGCAACTTAAAATTTCTTTTTAACTAGTGACTTTGTCTACGGAGGGATATCCCCAGTCGCTCCGCTGTCTCCACAGCCAGCTCGAAGGTATTCCTCCAGTTTTATCCAGTTGCATTAAATGCCCGTTTACTATCGTTTCCTCGACAGCTCATCTGCTTTAGAACATCGTATGTGGAGTTGGCAATTATTCACGTCTCCAAGTCAACATGTTTTTTTGTGCCTACATCTTTAGATTAGTCAGCGACACACAGAACTCGAAAACATTTTTATTTCCTACAAGGGTTGTAGCCTGGGTTCGCTCCCTGGCGGAACCGAACTTTTTTCAAAAATGACTTTGACTCCCAGGTCGACCCAGCCTTGAGTGGGTACCTGGTACAGTCCCGGAAAGTAAAGGCGGCTTGCGTGATGCTGACCACATCATCCATCTTGTGCCGATTGGTCTAAAAATTATAGGTCTAGCCCTATATGTCCTATACTCTTCAAGGCGTGGAAAGGGTCCATTACTTCACTTACTTTATTTACAAGGGTTGTAGATTTGGTTCCTTTGGAAGAAGCATATTTATGAGTTTAGTATTGCCATTCTCTATTCTGTCAGACATTACCTAGCACCTAGTGAGACTGAAAGAGTTAAAGTATTACCCTGAGCATAACAGCACTGATGCTGGCTGTCGCTCGGGCTGGTGCTGAGGTGAAACCAACTCACGGGACAATTGACAACAGGCGGTGTTTAGTGAAGGTCAAAATACGAAGAAGCTAAAGAGTAAACTTGTTAAAGTGGGGAAAACATGAGGAAATGGCCAGCTGACTGCTGACGCTTGTAAACAGTTATTTGTTTCCAGTTGTTTTGTTGATGCACATTATCCATTTATGGACCAGGAGTATAAAGGTTCCGTTGTCCAGCTGCTGAGCTGAGTGCTCGGTGTGATACTGTGTGCTTTGGATTTCAAGTGGAATGTTCCCACAACAAAAGTTAATCTCAAGCCTTACTCCCAGCATTATTTAAACGTTTTCTAAATTACTGGGCCTTTCGTGAGTAAACAAGTCTGATGCCTATCTTTTACAGGACGTTGCAATAATTAGACCCAGATTTTATGGCTGGCTGTTATTTTGCTAGACAATTTTACGTTCACGAGTTTCCCTTTGCTTCTTAGCGGTCGGCTTTCCATGCCACTTCCGAGATCAGTGCAAATCGGTCTGCTGCCAAATCACCCGCAGCTAGAATCAAACTAGGTATTTCGGAATTACTAAGCGCGTTCGCAATAATAACCCCTCTGACATGGACTTGATAAGTATATACAAGCATAAGGGACATTTTTTACTCTACGGGTGCCTCGAGCGTGTGGAGCCAGCCCCGTATTTCTCAAGACCAAACTGTGAAGTATGGGTG